TTTTATTTACTTTTTATTACCATCACGGCACAGTGTCCACAAATCACTGACAACAGACAAGGTGTGTTCTGACGCTCATCCGTAACAGCGAATCGGCGTCTGCTCGCCCTTCGCGGCCGACTGGCCTCCCTTCTCAAGATACGCCTGGTGATAGTCCTCCGCCGGCCAAAAGGTGTCGGCGCGTTCGAGAGTCGTCGCCAGCGGCGTGCCGAGCCGCTCAGCCTCGCGCTCGATGGCGGTCTGCGCGGCGAGGCGCTGCCGTTCGTCAGAGTAAAAGATCGCAGAGCGATACTGAGTCCCGACGTCGTTGCCCTGTCGATTGAGCGTCGTCGGGTCATGGACGTCGAAGAAGACACCAAACAGTGTCGTGAGGCCGATGGTGCTCGCGTCAAAGATTATGCGAACAGCCTCTGCGTGGCCGCTCTTGCCCTTCGAAACCGCGCTGTACGTTGGCCGGGGAGTTGATCCACCGATGTAACCTACCTCGGTGCTGATCACGCCTGGCAGTCGCGCAAAGGCGAGCTCCACTCCCCAAAAACAGCCGGCCGCGACCACCAGCGAGGCCACCTCAGATGACCGGCCGGAAGAGTCGACGGCGACCGTGGTTTTGCGAAGCGCTTCGCGCTGCCGCTCACCAGGCTGCTTGCCACCGTACGCGGTGGCGGAGAGCGGCAGCAGCAGGAGCAAGCGCCAGACCATTGTGTCTTCGTTCGCTTTAGCGCTGCTAGACGGCGCGCCGACGCTGGGTGGTGGGTGGCGGGCAAAGGAAAGAATTTACGCGCCGGTCTCTCACAGCAGACAGGCTCGACACAGGAAAAGAAAACCGGAACACAAGGCCGGATCCCTGGCTGGGCGAGAGGGTTTGCTCTGACTCGGTGCCTCGCCTCTTACAGTCTTGCTCGCTTGGCTGATTTTGACCTCAGACAGAGGGTCCCTCCCTCGCTCGCGCCTCGGCCGGTCACCTGTCCTGAGGAAGGGTGTAGAGGATGTAGAGTGTACTGTGCTGTATGAATGGTTGGACAACACCTCCTGACCACGGCGCCGCAGGCGCCTGTTGATAGGTCCAGGTGATAGCCCTGGATGAGCAATGCATACGTCTAGTTGGACCTCAGATCACTCGCCCGCGTCCCGGTGCTCTGCCGTCGGATTTGTGACGCCGCCGCACCGCGCCGCGGCCGGGGGCCCTCCGGAGGCCGAGGATGGCCGTGGCGGACCGGGACGAGCTCTGGGAGGTGAAGTGTCAGTGTATACATTGTAGAGACAGACCACATCGTGCACAATATCTCTCAGTCTAGCTAAGCCAGGGGAGGCGATGCCGGGGCCGTACAGCAGCTTGATGGTGTTTCGCCGGCGTGCGTCCCGGAGCTGTGCCGGACGGGCGGTCCGTGGGAGGAAAACTCAGGGCAACGCCGACGCCGCTCTGATTCGACTTTTAACTTCAAACAAAGACAGTGGCACGCGCCGCAGCGCGGTGCATGCCACTGTCAGGAGCGGATCCGTCAGTTAGTCGTGTTCACGCCGGGATCGTGCCCTGACTAACCTGCCCAACCATTCAGGGCGACGAGTAGAGCGCTGTAGAGCTGTAGAGCTGTAGAGCGCGCTGGAGCGCTGTAGAGCTGTAGAGCTCTACAGCGGGCGCAGGCGGACTGCCTCGCTCCGATGTGTAAAGCGATGTAGAGCGCAAATTCACAGTGAAATCACTAAGTAAACCGTGCTCTACATCGCTCTACATCGCTCTACATCGCTCTACATCGCTCTACATCGCTCTACATCGGAGGCAGTCCGTCGCTCCCGCGCCGGATGTAGAGCTCTACAGGAAGGTGTGCTGCGGGGGGGTTCTGCTTGAGCTCGACGTCACCTGGACGTCACCGCCGCATCCATCTTCATCGTGCTGCGAGCGGCCGGGCGTCACATATCAGGGAAAGGAAAGGGGCTGCGAGGGGCTGCCCGGGACAGGACAACGGTAACCCGGTACCCGCTCTCGTCGTCGAAGTGACCGAACCGACCCGCCGCTGCACAATGCTGGCCAGCAGTCCGCTTCCCCCCCT